TTTATTTGTAATAAATATTTTGTCATTTCTCTGTAACACATTCATCTCCTTCTTATGATAGTTCCTTTCTTTATAAGTTATTTGTAATAATCATTTCTGTAATGTATGCTTAAAATATATTATATAGATTATTTATATATTAAAATATATTATGTAAGTCATCTTATGTCTTCTTTTTCAATGTTGTAAAATTAAAGTAAATATTTCAAAAGTCATTATAAGTAATACAGAGAACATGTATGACAAACAGATTCTTAATTATTATGATATGAAATAAGGTTCACTTGATTTAAATTTCCCACTCGTTTACAGCAGTCTAAAGGGATATTTTTCACATGTAAGTGGCTACCTGAGTGTCGCGTCTTGTATACCTGTTCTTTGGCAGAACAGTATTTTAATGATTCGCAAGGAGCAGTGTGAACGGTGCATAACGCGACGCGGTGAGCGACGCAGCGTGCACGTGCCATTCACCCTGGACACGTGCACCGCGTGAATGGATAGCAGACTGCCTCGACGTTCGGCCGTGCACCGAGAAAACAGAGAGCACGGAAGACGAAGAGGGAGAGCGTACGAAGCAACAGGCTGACATATCGACAGCAGGAGGAAGACGGAGAAACGACGTTAAGGAAGGGGGATGACGGAGGAGAAAAGAAACGGTAAGAAATATAGATAGAGACGGCGCGATGGAAATAGTACTGTAGATGGGAAAGGTCAAGTGAGTCCAAGATAGAGAGAGAGGGAGAAAGAGGTGTGAAGAAGAAAATCGAAAGGGAATTTTGCGGAAAAGAAACGTACGTTCTACTGAAAATTCAACACCTTCACTTTTGTATTGTAATTGTCTTATAAAATTGCATTGTAGAGAAGTTTTTGATCGTTTAACGCTACCGATGGGTCATTTAACCCGTTCACAAGTTTCCTTTTTTAAATTGCGAAATGTATTAAAATACTTTTCTTGACATGTGTCGGTATAAAGAATCGATGTGTATATTTATGTTTAGTCTGTTTATTTTTAATTTCAAATTGCGTATTATGTGTGGGTAGCTTTAGAGTTAAGTTATTAATAGCTGGTAGTAAATAGCATAGTAATAGTTTAATTTTATACTGTAAATATGAAAATAGAAAGAATAAAAAGAATAGAAAAAATAAAAGTACAATATTAATGTACTTGAAGATCAGTTTATACTTGAATATTTTTGTAATAGTTTGCTTACATACTTTAAGTGAAAAATGCAAAAATATCTTGGACTCAAAACATTATAGGATTTAGAACACATAAATCAAATAGCAAAATAGTAAAATAGAGAAGAATAGTCGTATAGCAAAACTAATAGAATAGTATTATAGCAACGTACTCAAACAGCAATAAAACAACTAACAAAGTTTTAAACAGTTGTAATAAAAGTGCAATAAAATAAGTTTATTAATAGATAAACTCATGCAATGTAATATGCTACATAACGTAGGAGACTGCTATAAACGCTTACGAGATTGCGTTATACGAAACGTGATAATAAAAGAAGGAAAACAGAACTGAAACATGGTAGTTAATATAATGAACAGGGAGTAACTCAATTTTCTGACTTGTTTAGCAGAAATCAACCCTCATTTCTTCGTGATTTAAATGGAAGACTGCGAATAGTTAAGAGAACTGAATAGGAGCAATTTCTTATATCTTGTTTACGGAATCAATAATTTCCCTTGATTCTATCATTCTTGAATTTATTAGATTTCTTATTCGAACTGAATGTAAAATATGATTTACTCTATTATAACATTATAAACATGAATAAGACTGCAATTTTCTCAGATTTTCCAAGTTCTCAAATTTTTAAATTCTTATATTTTCCAGCTAAACTTACAAATTTTTAAATTCCAAAAACTCATCACATCTCCATATTCCTAAAAATACAAATTTGTAAGTTTATCAGTTTCAAAAATCCCGTGCGCTTGAAAAGATATCAAGAGTATCTGCTACTACATCCGGCAACGTAATTGAAATTTCCTTACCCGTTTCGATGCTTCTTATTGTCGTGGCTCGGTTCAACGTCGACGATGAGATTACCAGCATTCTGCTGCGAGTGATTCGAATTGTGATTTTCCACGTATGGATTATGCGTGCTGTTGTGATTATTGTGATGATGGTGGTGATGATGGTGATGCTGGTGTTGCTGAGGCGGTTGCTGTTGCGGTTGTTGTTGCTGCTGCTGCTGCTGCTGTTGCTGCTGTGGTTGATGATGATGAGGAAGATGATGATGAGACGCGGAGTGAAGAGTTGTCAAATGACTTGAATTTGAGCTCGCTGAGGGTGGCGTTACTCGCGTGCTTGAGATCACGGGACTCCCCCGGGAACCTGCCGAGTGATTCCCGTTCGTTCTGTTGTTTTCCGGCGGTTCCTCCTCTGAAACATAAAACGAAACTTTCCTAAAGACTTACTGTATATACAAATTATACAATCATAGCAAAACTGAATATAAATCATATTTCACTTTCTATAAAATTGATTGCCTGTAACTGATTTTTGTTATTGTTCACTTTATGTACAGCGTTCACTGAAATTGGTGAAAGATTTTTCCTTTCCTAAAAGAAATTCAACTATATACAACTGACTGTACATTTGAAATTTTTAAATAAACCTAACAAGTGAAACTGCCATCTTTGAACAATAACTATATAAATTACATAAATCGCAAGAATAATTTTAAAGTCTCTGTAAAATCTGACATATATTTTACAACTCGGTGTACATAGTATGTATTTATTCACGAAAGTCGCTATTGAGAAATTCCTGGGTAAATGCTTTTCCACGAAAAGAGAGTTCGTAAAGGTAAGATTTTACAGCGGTAATTCCCAAGCACTTGGACGATCTCGAAAGTTTCATTCTGGATGGCATTCATGGAGGCACCGCAATTCCTTGCGTTCTACGATGCAGACGACAAAGCTTCCATTCTTGCCCATTCTATTCTATGCCCGAACTTGAATGGCTTGTGTTCTCGCCTAAGATTAGCAAATGCCTTCCTGGAGTGGCGATGGCTTTGATACGAATTCTTCACTTGCCAAAGCTATCTATTTTTTTTAGTTTCCATATCAGAATTGCGAATTCAGAAATAATTATACAGCTAACGGAAGCATGTAACGATACATGCTATTGTATTCCTGACTACTGTATTGATACGAATAATAAACTTACGATTCCCTTATTTATTTCATTTTCAAGATGTCTTCATACAAGAACATTCCAGATGTCCACCGTTAATGAAATTGAAATACACACTATAGCGTTTCCCTTCACATTTCTTTAAAGTCACTCTCGACACGTGCGACGTCCTTACCCGTCAATTTCTGACAGCACTATAATTTTCGACACAGGAAATTTGACGCGCGACACTAACGGTCGGCGTATGAACTAATAAAAATGGCCGCTGTATACTTTTGGCGCTATAAACAAACGTGACCCTATTTACTTATAATAATAAAAGAAGTAACAGTATTTTAGACAATTATATGTTCAATTTTAATTTAATTCAGATTTAGTTCCTACTTTATCGATAAATTTTCGATGTCGCTATAAATATTAATAATTTAAAATAATCGCTATGTTGATATATCGATGTTCTTACATCCGCCATATTTGTTTTGTATACCAGCGCCCTTATAACGATTTTGAACAATTTGTAACTCGATATTATGAAAGATAAAGTTAAGAATGAAGATCGTGGAAGTGCATACTCAGGAACGACCGAAATGTTTTGCTACGACGATCCTGCGGGAACCGTAATTTCCATTCGTCGCGATGCTATAAATTAGCGGAGCACGTGTACGCACATGCAACCAACTCATTCATGTACCAAGCGACTTGGCAAAGGTTCGTCGCATAGCTCGGCTCTTCCTAAATCTATTCCAGGCTTAAAGACCGGCGTGTGTACGTTAGCATGAGAACAAGAAGCAAGAAAGCACCGACGGATATACCTTGCACGCCTGCATCGTCGTCTACGGCGAATAAAGCTAAAACGTGCCTTGCAAACGCGACTTCAACCATCAAGGAATAAGATTTTCTAGCCTTCCAACGTTTTTCCTCCGGTTATTTTTATTAAAATTAGAGCTATAATCCTACAGATTATAAGTCAATGTCAATAATTTTTAAATGTTAGAGAGAAAGTGATAAATTGATATCGATATTTGCATGATTTTATCATTCAACTCTAGTTAATCCTGGCTAAACGGTTGATTACATTTGGACTTCAAACAAGAGTTAAAAGACGGTTGATAAATTGTAATCTGACCGTAAAGGTTAAGTTAGGATTAGACATGTTCAATTAGATTAGATATTATGTCATTAGATTAGGTTAGGTTATTACATTAAAGTAAGACTAGGGTTAGGTTAGTTCAACAAGATAAAATTAGGTAGCCATTTTTTCTTAAGGTAATAATCCAAATCTAAGTTTAAGCTAATCTTAACTTAACATAAACTGAACTTTGTCTTAAGTAATCTAAACCTAATCTTAATTAACTTAAATCTAATATAACCATATTCTAATCTAATTTAACCAACTTAACTTCATATTAATTTTGGTTTTTACAAACACTTATCTATTGTGATAAATTTAATTGAAATTCGACTTATAGATGTAATATATCCTTTGACAAAATCGTACCGTCCGTTAATCAAAATCTGCTAATGGTGTCAGTGACACATCTGATTAGAGTTTGATAGGCACTTCACTTTTGTAGTAGAAATCTTAATTACGAAACTTATCGACGATCAATCGATAGTTAGCGATAGATTCGCAGTTTCGCATTTGCAGATCGTTCGATTTCTATCGAGTGACCTACTTGGTGCGATAAACTATGAACAGGAAGTCTCATCTTGCGTAACATACTTGACGCATTCGAGAGATTGAATCTTTTCGGTAGACTTCGAATTTTATCTTCCCGACAAATCTATGGTTATATTATTCTACATTTCTGCCTAACCTTATGACTAACGTAAAAGAAATGAGCCAATGAATATTTTAGTGCGAAAATAAAATATGAGAAATGCAGAAAAACTTAACAGTAAGAAGTCGTTGAAATTATTCATTCCACCGTGCAAGATGAACGCATGTGCTTTAATAAAAAGCTGAATTCTTCGGCACAATCGCGCGACAGTGTTTTATTAAATTAAGCATTATTCATTCACCACGTGGAAGTAAGAAAATTGCTCTTGTCTGTCGCGTCTTGAATTATTCAGGTAAACCGATGCGTGAACCCATCCTTAGAACGCAGAAAGTTTCTCTAACAAAACTGATAAATCAACGAATCGATAAAAAGTTCGCTCGATTTATATTCGAACCTTCAACTAAAACATCGATGCAATGCTTCCGACGCTTTCAGATGGTTGCAGATTAAATTACTTGATTTATTCATTTTCAATGCTGATGCAAGTTCACAAAACAACTATATTTATTAATTAGGACGTGTCTTGGGCAATACACATTATTTAAATAAAGTAAAATATTATTCTTACGTTAATGAAGTATTTATTGAAGTGATTTAATTTCTTTTAATTTTAATTAGAGATTTTAATTTTTAAGTTTTCTTGAGTTTTAGAGATATGAATTTGTAGGTTTACCTTTATACAAATGTAGGTAAGTTACAAAGTTGAAAATATAGGAATTCAAGATTTGAAAACTTGGTAACTTGATAAATAGACGTTTTGAAAATTTGGAACATTGATAATGTGGATTTTGAAAGTTTGAAACTTGAAAACATATAAGACAAAAATCCCTAAAGACCAAAATCCAAAAAGCACTAAATTCCAAAAGTCCCTGAAGTTCAAAACTCAAAAACCACTTAATTCTAAAAAAACCCTAAATTCCAAAATTAAAAATCACTAACTTCCAAAAATCCCTAAATTCTAAAAGCCACTAACTTGCAAAACTCAAAAAATTTCTAAAATTCAAGATTCAAAAATTACTAAATTCAAAAACTCCCTAAATTCCAAAATCCAAAAATCCCTAAATTCCATAATCCAAAAATCCTTAAACTCGAAAACTGAAAAATCCCTAAATTCAAAAAATCACAAGCTTCCAAAAATCCCTAAATTCAAAAATTCAAAAATCACTAAGTTCAACAAATCCCTAAATTCAAAAATTGAAAAGTCCCCATATTCAAAAATTTTGAAAAATGGTAAATTTTCTAAACCTATCATCGGATCTACTCATTTCGAAAACCACGTTTTTTAGCGATTTAAATATTACAAAAAATTTGTTTATAATGAAGAGTTTTTGTTCTGTGAGTTGAAAAAGGTTAAGAACCACTGGTCTAGACAGACGTTCGAATGCTAATCCTGTAGGATGAGCTAAAATGGGCAAAGAGACGAAAGAACGTGACTGTTCTTTTATCTGCAAAATCGGCATGAAATCAGCCTTCGACTGGAGGTCAAAGTAACTAGATGTAAATGTAAGCATGCCCGTTTACGACCGAATACCGAAACCGAACGCTACTTCACTCGATATAATACCCTCGCGTGGCGATTATTTTTTCGACTTCGCGTCGAAAATTCAAAATTACAATTCACGTTCAAGAATTCGATTCGATATATGATTTATTTGTATAATAAACTCAGGTATTAGAAAATAATATTCAAAATCATTTTTCTTAACTTCTTGTTGATTAAAAATTTAGATAGTGACGAATTGTTTTGTCATTTTTATAAAAATTAATATTCAAGTTGTATCATTTTATGACATCATACAGTTATTCAGAAAAATGTTCCAAGAAATAATTAGTCTTTCTCAAGTTACTGTATATTTAGTCTTTCGAAATTCAACAATGACCACATACCTATGTAAACAGTATCTTTTTTGTAGTATATTAATAACTTTAAATTTTGTGTGTTTAGCTACTGATTTAAAATTAGGAAAAAATTCTCTCATTTTTCAAACTCGAGAATCATCTCTAAAAGGATTCTAGTATTTTAACAAAAGTAGCTGCAAAAATTATGTTCAGTCTATTAGAAAGTGAAACTTAAAAATTTAAGATAGATATACAATTTTAGAGTACAGTATTTAAAGTTTTAACGAATCTAGCCTAACCTAACCTCGCTAGCTCAATCAGTGGTCCTGTGTAACGCGAGAACCCAACGTCCAGCTAAAGAATATTTATAGGCTCTACGTAACCACTTTAAGTCGAAGCATCCTCGATGCCGAAGAAAAAAAGACACGCTCCTTTTAACGGTTCGTCTCTTCTGTGTTTAAAGTCTGAACTCCTGTTGTTTTAACGAAGAGACCTTATAGGATTACGCCATTTTGGAGTACGGATCAATATCGATAAATATTGGTAACATCGAAATGTTACTGATAATATTCTTAATGGGAATAAAAATGATTGAAGTAACAGTGAATCTCAAGCTGTCAAATTTCTACGTTTCTCAATTCGAAAATCACCACGATTATCCTTATCAGTGACATAAAAGAACTCTTGATTACGTTGTGCAAATAAAGAAATACACGCACGGCGAATTTACTGATGCGTGGGAGTAAATAAGAGGTGCGATTATCTTATAAGAATCTACGCTACTCTATAATAACGATAAAATAGCTGTGCCATGTCAGGTTCGCTGTGCACGTAAGATAATAATGTTCTAAATATTCAATTTAGCATATTTTTAACTTCCCAAATTTCAAAATCTACAAATTACAAAATTTACAATTCTCGAAGCTCACAAATTTCAAAATTCCTAAATAGTTCTAGAAATATGAAAATCTTTAAATGTGTAAATTTAATAACTCAAAAATGTCTGTATTCCCATATTAATAATGAACATTCCTAAATAAAAATTTCTCGAAACTTACTAATATTAAAAATTAAATTTGAAAACTTAAAACTTCAGACTCTCAAGACGAATGCCCTAATAGTTTCCCATAGAAATTTAAGTGGCACTCATATATGAATAACGTGGCAGTTAACATATTAAACAAAAAAGAAAAAGGGACAAACTGACCCGATAAATTTTTTTGTTAACGGTACGAGATTAAACGGTAAGTTGTTTGTCAAGTTTTAGCGATCGATTAGCGATTCTTACACAACAAACATCGCAATGAAGGTGTTAAAATAAGTCTGTTCGAGGACTTAGCACGTGTAAGTACTTCTTGTTAATCGGTAAGCATTGCGTGTTCGTCGCTTGAATGTCACCAACTAAACAGTAGCTTTTGCTGGGAAGTGTATGGCAAATGTTTCCCGGTCACGATGGTATGATCAATAAAAAGTGCAGTACACAGGGTGTCCCATGATGTAATTGATATAATTAGAATGTATGTTGATTTATGGGGTATTTGCAAATTAAGGTTCGTGGTTATAGGAGGGTTGCTTTGTGTGTACAGTTTTAGGTTGGCAAATGTGGAGTGGTAATTTTGGGACGTTGAGAAGTTGGGAAAATAATATTTAATAATTCGGAATTTTGGGATTTGGAATTTTAGAATTTTGACATTTTTGGATTCGCAATTTTGCAATTTGGAATTTTGGGAATTTGGAATTTTGGGAATTTGGAATTTTGG